CAGTCATCGTCGCTGGAGACGCAGTCATCGTTGCTAGAGACGCGGTCATCGTCGCCAGAGAAGAAGAAGCCGCTGGTCCCTTACGAAGATAGCTCGAGTGCACTGTCCGACGTCACTACGGACAATGGAGATCTGAGCGAGATTGAACCGCACGTCTCTTACGAATATTCGAGTGCACTGTCTGACGTCGATACGGATGTTGGAGATCTACCGACGGATGCTGGGGATGGAGAGGAAGCCCGCATCGGTGAGTTGCTCTTCCCTACCATGCATGAATTGTTTTGCGCTTTCCGTTGCATCGTTGCGCGCTCTGGCTTTTGCACATCTAGCTTGCTGCACTTCTCTTTGAGCACGGATGTGCTTGTCGCGGGGGGGGGAGCGGGTTGCTGTGGAGGTGTCTACCTTCTGTTGGATGCGTTTGTTGAGGTGGTCACTGCCTCGCTAGCTGGCGTTTTTGCAACGCCCCGTCGTTCTGACGGATTGAGGTGTGTGTCCTCCGTTTGCCGGTATCGGAGTTGCCCTGGGCGACGATGGACGAAAGCTGCGTGAACCCCCTGCTTATGGAGACTCTAGCTGCTTGCGAGAGTGTAGCGACGGTTGGGCAAGCCTGAGCAACAACGATGCGTGGTTAGCGTGCTGCTTGTGTTGATACACTGTGAACTGGCTGACATAGTTCCAGCACAACACCAGGGCCAATGCTTCGACGAGGGCCTGCTCGCCAAGCCAAGCGCACGGTGCCATGGATCTCGGAGAGCAGCGACGGCAGCAGCAGCGACGGCAGCAGCAGCGAAGGTCGAATAGGCAACGCAGACGATGCGGACGATGCGGACGATGCGGACGATTCGGACTCTGAGTTCGAAATGAAGCTGTCCGTGTCCGCTCGCCGAGCCAAAAGAAAGGTGCCATCGGTCGTAGATAGCGACAACCAAGGAAGTGATGCGGACGATTCGGACTCTAGCCTCAAGGTCGTGACAGTAGAGCGGCCCAGGCCGAGGCGCACTGCCGCCAAACACAGCTCGTCATCATCAACGCCCGCGCTTGCACTGTCGTCGTCGTCCTCATCGGAGCCCCTTGCTGCGTCTGTGCCTCCACCTCGCAAACAGCGAAAGACTCAGGACCGCCTGACTACACGCAACTGCGGGACGCACGACTCTTTCAAAGAGGCCAAATTTACGTCGTCTCAGCTTGCACTTGCTGGCCGTGTGACTGATCTGAACATCTTGCCACCGCGGTGCAGAGAAGAGCTCACCCACGAATCGCTCATGGCTCGAGGAGAAGAGCTGGCTCAAAAGTTCTTGGCTGCCAGCCACGAGCACTGGACCATCGTCGACATTCCACACCCGGCCAGACTGCTCTTCCGAGCATATGAAGCCGTTCTCGACAACGTTGCCGTTCGAATGACCATCTGTCTGGAGTACGACATCGACGAGGAGGCTGAAAAGCATTCAGGCATGCCACGTCCCTCACTCTATGAGAGAATCAACCGTGCTCGTGCTCGAGCAAGGCCTCCACTGAATCCCTTGCCAAAAGACGAGTTTAACAACCCACGAAGGGATCAAACGTGGCACTTGTGGGCTGGCGACAACATTGAATGGGATCTCATTCTCGATTGCAACAAAAAGCTCTTTACGGTGCAGCGTTGGAGCTTGCCAAAGATTGCCCGCTCGGCAGACAGAGCGCCTGACAGGCCCAACACAAGCACCACCAGCGGTGCTCAGGCTGAAAAGGGCAGTCTCTGGCGACCATCCCCCGATGACTTGGCTGCATCCATGCAGGTCATTCTCGACATGGCTTTGAAAGCTGAAGCGGACGTCCAGAAGGCAGAAGCTGAAGCGCAGCGCATGAGTGAGCACGTCCATTATCACAAGGGACTTCCTCGACATCTTGCTCTTGCCAAGACGCGGCGTCGTCACGCCAACGCTGAAGCAATTGCAGCAACACAGACTTTTGTCGCTATCACCACAAATCTGCTCCTTTGGTCGCAAGCTCTCTCCCTGCCGGCCTTCCCCATTGAGCCCAGTCGTAGTTGCAACGGGACCATCTTTGGAGCTCTTCACGCACACCTTCGAGCCGCCGGCACAAGCAGAGCTACGCTTGCCGACACCAACTTCAATGCCGAGATCAAAGACTACCGCCATGAGATCTTGCCATTCGTGTACGGCAAAGCTTGCACCCGCTTGCTTAAGCGGATGCGCGAGACAATGGCTTTTGGGTTCTCTGATGTGTACAAGAAGTACAACAATGTGCGTCTGCACAGGGAGCTCATCAATGTCATTCCCCGACGCGCACTTCGAGCCTACATGTCTGGTGAAGTTACTCGCAATATGGAACGACGTCGAGCTGCTATGATGGCGCCATGGTGCTCTGCAGCCATCAACATGCCGACACCCTTTACCGGCATGACGGCGCATCGTGACAAGAGGGATACGCAGTGGGGACTCTGTGTCGTTGCTGCTCTTGGCGACTTTACCGGTGCTGAGCTGTGTTTGGATGATGTAGGCATTGCAATCCACTCACGACCGATGGACATCACTGTCTTTCCATCGGCGCTCAACACGCACCGCAATGCCAACGATCTGGTCGGTACGCGCATGTCGCTGGTTGCCTTTACACAGCACGCCATCCTGGATAAGTATTCTACGCTGCCCACCAGCAAAGACTTTAGCGTCTGGCCAAATGCCCAGCCCCACGGAAAGGGCAAGCCAGCGGTTCATGTGGTCGCAAGCGGCGACGCTCAACGGTCCAGTCCGTAGCCCATGCAGATCGAGCAGTGTACCATCGAGATGTAGCTCGCGACCATCAGAAGCTCACGATGCGATGTGTAGCTGCGCGACGCCGAGAAGCTGAGGAAGCTCTCAGCGCTCGCTTCGGCGTTCGTCGAGTGCACACATGTGACAACTCGTTGCAACAGCACAGCCCATCTACATGTAGCGACGGACCAAATGCGACAAAGAGCATGGACCTACTGTAACGATGCTAATGATGCTAGCGTTGCCGGACAGTCGCGAACGTAGCGTGTCGGCTGGGTTCAAGCGAGGCATCTCCGCGCCGTGCCTCGATTCACACCTTCGCATGGCCAAGGACTGCAAGGTAGGTATCCATGATGGCGATAGTCAAGGATGGAGAGTATCAAGTCCCGAGCGCCAAGCGAGCGGGTCTTCACCTCCAGGCTTCCATGAAGACCCCACAGAAGCGAAGATGGGTTAATCGCCGTGAGCGGGAGGCACACGTACGCTAACAGCAGACAGATCTGCTTGCACTATCAGGCGAGCTTGCGGACCCCCGCGATCCGACGTCGAATGTCGGGTTGGATACTTCTCTGTGGTCAAGATAAAGGCGCGAAGTAGGGTAGCGGGTGGAATAAGAGTCCGCGCAAACTCGAGCAGGAGTCGACTCTCGACAAGCATAATCACACAATGCTCCTGACAGCGAACCACCGATTTCTCCGACCTGAGCGACAGATCACGATTGCGACGCTCTTTACGACTGTGACGCACATTACGACCGAGATCTTGATCACGCTTGCGATACCCTTTACGACTGCGACGCTCATCACGATCGAGATCTTGATCCACGATTGCGATACTCTTTACGCCTGCGACGCACATGACGACCGAGATGTTGATCAAGATTGCGATGCTCATGACGACTGCCACGCTCATTACGACCGAGATCTTGATCA